GGACCACACCCAGCGACCCGCAAAATTTACGCGGCCAAGCAAAGCAGGCAGCCGCTTGGCGAATGAGAAACCGACCCGGCGCGCCGTGAGGTTTGAAAGCAAAGCGTTTCTCCTCGTGCAACGAATGCCAAGTGGGCCGACGGGCTTTGTTGTCGCCACGCGCGTGTAAGCTCACACGCGCCCGCGCATGCAGGGGCAGCTGCTTCACAGGCTGCGCGTCCGGGAAGTGCCTGATTATGCAAACAAAAAGCGTGCATGCCGAATTGTTCCAACCTCGTGTTTGCCAGCCCCACTGGCTTGCCATCGCCTAGAACATGTGGGAAACGTACAAAAAAAGAACACATGCTCCAGCGTTTTCGGTCAGACCTTTCTCCACTACAATATGGACACCTTGGTTGTGGAGCAGATCGACATTCGGCAACGTCGAAATTGCAAATCTTAGCGAATAGAAAACCACGCGGCCAGGCAAGATGTAACAGCAGGTGGCAAACCAGCCGGTCACACCAGGAATGCCGAAATAGCAACTCTAAGGGAACGAAACAGTCAAACCAATCCAGCCCGGACAGCGCGGGAGTCAAGTCGAAACCCCCCCCCCCGCACATAAAATGCGCCAACGCACTCAAATTCCAAGAACCACGTTTCCTGTTGGATTTGAAAGCAAGAAGAAAAAGTCCTGAGTTTCCGAACTATGTCAAAGATTTCGGGCTCCTCATTTTCCGGGCATCGAAGGAGCGGCATAGGTGCATTTAACCAAAGCCTCTGGGCATCCATTTCCATTTCCATGGTCCCGGCTTCAGACCCGAATCCCAAAAAACTCGGGCGCCTTCCAAATAAGTGTCAAGGCAAAAATCAACGAGCTGAATGCCCACCATTGTGCGCACTCTTCCTTGGAATTCAAGAGCCCAAAAAAGGAACACGCAAGTGAGGGACAGTCATCAAAGTGATCTCACTTTAGCCCCCGGTGAGCTCCTTGCAATTAGTACAAGCAAATCTAATTTGAAGGGAGGTCAGCAACTTTGCACCCGCGTCAGTGTTGCAATCCTTTGTTGGAAACCACGCCCCGTAAAATAACGGATTGCAAGGTCCAGAAGTTCAACAGCGTTCTTTCGCCAGTTTCTTCCACAAACGCCCTTTCTTGATCAGTTTATGCACCTTGTGGGCATCAGAACGCCTCAACTGCATAAACGACAAGGAACAAGTATGCAAAGGCCACACAGATGCATCGAATTCAATAACCTGAGGTTATTAACCTCTGAAACAAGCGCATTCCCTTGAACCCAGTCTCAGTGGATGAGCATACCTAACCGCTGATGGCACGCATATGTTCAAGTCACCAACCAAAAACACAGTTGCAAAGTAATTCAAACATGCACTGGTTTGAAAAGAGCAGATTTGATGAAGCCGTCATGCACCTGGGAGGCAAACATGTCCTGCCTCATTGGAATTCTAACCGCAGACATCCGCCCAGCCACACCTGCGTTCAGAACAGGCGCTACACGCAGACGATGCCCATGCAGCCAAAAGACATCGCAAAGATTCCTTGCTGCCAGCGGGCAATGTGCCAAAGAAAATGTTGCAACTAATAAGAAGAGTTGGATGCTAAACTTAGTGACTGTTGTGTGCTCTTCGCGGGCCCAGTGCTTGAGACACGCAAGCATAGTAAAAAGCCAGCGAGCAGCCGACACAAACGCAAACAATGCAGGAGCCAAAGTGTCTTCTTGATTCGCTACTTGAGATCTAACTAAGGCTGTGAAGTTTGCAGCACGCTGCTTCACGCTAGAACTCCTTGTGTACCACGTTCCGTCTTGAAAAACGGAATGTCGGTCTCAGACTTCACTCGCAGCATCTGTTTTTGCCGGCATGGCGTGGCCACCGCGGATCATTGCGCGCACATGTTCTCCAGATTCAGGGGCTCGGATCTTCTCGCGCCTTTTTGCGACTGCCCAGTGAAACACGCTAGCCACCTACGGACCGGCCAGCGCTGACGCGGCGTGCGAGGAGGGACTCGGCGAAGGACAGCTGAGCCGCAAAGGACAAGAACGCCGACCAGCAACGAACGAAGCAGACGTGGCGGAGCGGAAGGGAGGGGGGACCTCCCGCGCCCAAGCTCGAGGGTGACGGTCTCTTCGTGACCGGAGACGCCCTTGCGGGTCTGCCGTGAAGCCGGGGCAAGGGTGACTTACTTCGACGCTCACCCCCGACCCAAACAAGGAACTTTAGTACGGACAGTGACGTGTCAGCATTTAAAAGAAAAAGGCTCAAGGGTTCGCCCAGCACCACCAAACTTGAGCCTCGAGGTCGGCGTGATCCGTTGGTGCAAAACCGAACACATGCAAAAGAAACTGCAGGAAAGATCTCACGCCTTTTCTTTCCCGTGCCAAAGGTTAAAGAGGTCCATCGAAGGCTTCTCTTCACACGATTCAACCTTTGTTGAAACTAAAACTTGTTCAGACAAGTTCTGCAAGTGGCGCAAAACTCAACGAGCCCCTTCTTGGCACTGCCACTCGCGCGCCCTGCTTTCTGGAGCGCGGGGCTCAGAAAAAAATCAACAGGGCCAGCAAGCCGAAGCCAAATGTTCCTGTCTGCGGCGTCATGCACTCATGACTTCGGGAGTGGTCTTCACAAAGTAAAGTATCGTCACAAGTGACATCACACCTTACTTCGACGCTCACCCCCGACCCAAACAAGGAACTTTAGCACGGACGGTGATGTCAAAGAAAAAGCAACCGCGCAGTGGCGCGTCTGTCAAGCAGAGAGCGCCATTCCTTTTAGAATTAGGGCTGTCATTGCGCAGGGCGGACGCGCGTTGGGTATGGATCACGCGCTGAACAAAGCACGCGTGAAGGTGACTTGTCCTGCAAAGCCAGCCAGAAGTAGGTTCTCAAAGAAATGTGCCGCGATTATCCGGGCTGGATCGTCTTCGGGTAAGACAAGCCAACAAATTGTATGCCTTTTGTCAGAAAGTTTTTCAAGCTTGCGCGCACAACCAAGTTTTGTGCATGGTTGAAGGCCCTGCTACATCGCGCATGTGGGAAACCAAATGGTTCAAGGGCTTGAGGAGTGCTTTCCAATTAGAGCAGTTCGATGCCTGCATGTATGGACAGCTCTGCTTTCCACTGCGCCGTTGCCGCACCTGAGGGCCAAGTGCAACAACCGACATCATCATGTTCCACCGGTCTTCTTGTTTGGAGAAATGGCATCCTGCGAGGAAGTCAGAAAGGTGTGCTAGTGTCAGGTGCTGAAGGCTGGCAGTGCCCTGACTGACGAACGCCAGGAAGGTGCGTATGACCCTCAGGTACTGTGAGAGGGTACTCGCTGACACCTTTCTGAGTGAAGCAGCCAAGAGTACATCTGTGCGTGTTGAGGCGGCTACAGCTTGTGCGAGGAAACTGGATTCTTCACACAGTTTGAGTATAGCTGCCCAATCTGCCGCGCACTTATCCTTAAGGCTGGCCTGCATTGATGCACTAGTGATTGGCCCGGCTGCTGCAGCGC